ATATTAGATGTAGATTCCGGGGAAGATTTAGATGATGTACTCTTGCTAGTGTAAGTTTTTGATTTGGCACCAAGTCCAGAGTAAAATTGTATGAATTGTGTATTCAGAGATTAAGATAAAGGGACAAATTAATACCTGCTCCAACATTGTTTGGGAAAATTTCCAACTAATTAAGAAAATTAAACATGTGTAAGCTCTTTATTATATATGTAAATTAAAAAAATATGTTACTAGCACCCTGCTGGGTTTAGCTTTTGTAACACCTTATTCAAAGACACAAAGAAAATTGCTATTGAAGAGAGGAAAAGGAATATTTAACAAGTCTCTTATTTAAGTCAGGGTCTATTTATTTAAACTATTTGTTAAAATAAATAGCCAACATCTTGGCCTCCAAATCAATGCTTTTCCACCTACAGTTTCTCACCTTTTATAAGTCATGTCAATAAGTTATCAAAACCAACCAAAGTAGATTTTACAGTGGAAAGTTTGACTTGAAACAGCTTTAACATAGTGTCTAGTGTGATTTTTCCAGCCAGAACTTGTAAAACTACCAATAAATGAATACTTTGAAAAACAGTCTTATAAATGCTTCATCACCCCTGAGCAGACTCTTTTACTCTAACTACCTCAGGCAGCACTGTCTTCTTCCTTCTCTGTGCTTTGTGAAGACTTTGACCCTCATTTTAAATCTTTTGTTTACCTGTTTGTCATCATACTGGACGGCGACCTCCTCAAGGTCAAATACTGCTCTTTTATTGGTAGTTCATTTGTTTGTTTTTGTCATTATTTGTTTAGGATTTAAAATAGCACACATCCAACACTAAAAAAAAAAAAAATCTGACAATGTGGAAAACATACAGAAAAGAGAGTTAAATGGAAATAGCCATTTTTGCCATTAGGTGCACATACTCCTCAATGTGTAAAATAGATAGAACTAATTTTAGAAAAATGAAATTCAATTACATATGTTATTTTCAAATAACTTTCATGGAATTTAATTTTACTTGAACTTAAGAAAACAAAGTTAACAGAACGGAATTTAATTTTTATCAAAATTCTAAATTATTTTTTTAAATTTAAACAAAGTTTATAAAAACATTCTGAAAAACCAAAATGACTCTTTGATTAATGTTTTCTTCACCTATCACCCCCAATTTTTATTTACATTAATTTAAAATTTTTGTTTAAATTTTTAAATTTTGAGATATTTGTAGATTTATGTCCACAAAGAAATGTGAGAAATAACAGAGAGATCCTGTCTACCCTTCTCCCAGTTTCCTGTTTCCTTAACATACTGCATATGTACATTACATGGTGTAAAATCAAAACAAGAAGATCAACGCAGATTCAACTCATAAACCTGATTCAGATTTTACCAGTCTTTTATGCATTTGTGTGTGTGTGTGTGTGTGTGTGTGTGTGTTTAGTTCTAGGCAGTTTTATCTCATGTGTAGATCGTGACTACCATGGTACAGAAAAATTCCATTGCAAAGATCCTTCAAACCCTGGCATCAAGAATCTGTTCTCCATCTTTGCCATTTTGTTATTTCAAGAATATGACAGAGAGAGATCCATACATTTTGTAACCTTTTGATATTGCCTTTTTCTAATCAACACAATCTTCTGAGATTTACCTAAGTTGTTGTCATCAGTAATTTCTTCCTTTTTATTGATGTAGTATTCCATGGAATAATTGTTTCACCGTTTGTTCAACTAATCAGCTACTGATGGGTATTTGAATACTTTCCAGCTTTGCATTATCACAAAGTTTGTATGCATATTCAAGTACAGGCTTTTCAGTGAACATGATTTAATTTCCCTAGGATAAACCACTGAGAGGACAATTATTGGTTGAATGATAAGCATGTTAAGTTTTGCAAGAAACTCCTATATTCCAGAGTGGCTATACTGTTTTGCATTCTCGCCCACAATGTATGAATGACCAAATTTCTTTGAATCCTGGCAAATGCTTGGTATTATACATTATTTTTAAGTGCCTATGGAAATCTACTTTCTATTCCTTCTTATAATCACTTTTTAGTATTATTGCTTTCAATAGTTGTATACTCAAGTGGCTTGAAGACTCAATACCATGAATATTGCATTTTTATTGGTGAAGGAATTTTCATAAATATTTATGTGGTTCCTCTATTCTTCCATGTTTGAGAATATTTGTGACCTTTCTCGACTTGTGTAAAAAAGCTGGGTGAGAAGGTGGGAGTGTAGCTCAGGGGTAGGGCACTTACCTAGCATGTATAAGGCACTGAGTTCAATCCCCAGCACCACCAAAAAATAAAATAATAAATACATAATCCTGTCAGGGGTTGCTCCATTTTCTTCTGGCAGAGTTGATTATTGTAGCAAACTTGACCTTACCCCCACAATTCAATGTTGCTTTTCTTACCTGAATATTGACATTCTATATTTTTTGAAAGACAGTAATTTCAAAAATTAATTAATCTCGCTGTGGATTTTCCTAAATGTGTTTATTCTGGGTCCACGTGCATTGTCAGATATTTCTTTATTTTGGAAGAACTTCTTGTTCCTTTGAATATTTTGTTTACTTTTTCCAGTTCTGTTCTTAAGAAACAAGCCATTTACCTCTGACAGGCTTTCTCCTCCAGAAGTCAATAGGAACATCAAGTTGATATAGCCGTGTTTCCCCCAATACCCCATGGTGTTGAAATAGGGCTTCATGGGGTTATACTGTGGTCCCCATGGCCTGGTCACATTTGCAACTCTATGCTCTGCTCAAATACACTCGAACCTTTGTTTTGACAAGGCATGGTTGGTAAAAGTGGGCTTCACTGTTTGTTGCATGATGTTACATTACAAACAATTTCTTTGTTTCATAAAAATGATGTTTTTTCTCTCTGTCCTTCAGGGTTTTGGGAGGAGAATAAAGCCAAATGTCATACATGTTCATCTTTAAAAGGAATTGTGCAGTCCTCGCCATCACCTTGCCCTTTCTTGCTTGTGGCAGTGTTGACACAGAACTATTGAATCCATATGGAAATTCTGAGCAAACAAGTAAATGCACAAATAAGTCAAATTCTGTACTAAACAGAAGTCACAGAAAATAAAAGTGGCTGCAATCAGCTGAAAGAAATAACAGAGACTGGCTCTGACAAGTGTGATTGAGTAAGCCATTGAAGAACTCATTTGGTATTTTTGACCATTTTCTGAATTGCTCATATACAAATCAAGTAAATGATTCATTAACCATCCATTCTCATTGTGGAAATTACTGAAATAAAAAGATCATTATGGCCCAGTAATTTTGGTTGTAAGAATATAGCTTTCTTCATTAAGCTTCTAGGGTCTGCTAGACTTAAGTGTTATTGAAATTTTGTGGGGGAAGAATAAATAAACGAACTTCCAGGTGCCAAGAATCATCTGGCCACAATGGTATCCTTTTCTGTAGATTTGCTGATTGACCTTATTCTGAGTGTTCAACACTGAACTAGGCACATGAAGTATATCAGGACTCTGATTTTCTGAAAATCCTGTATAGTCATAGTAAGAAATTATAGTTTGGAATTCTGAAATTCTTATTTTAGTTGCCAATATTCAAGTGAATCTTTATTAGCCTTAACAAATGCCAACTAAATAAAAGAAACCAAATGAAACAGGGACTTTTTGTATACTGCTGTTAGCAAAGAGATATGACTAATAGAAATGGGAATTATCTGTTACATTTTTTGGAAAATTCCTGTGACTAGTAATTTAAATTCTACATATAGCCTGACAGAAATTCACACCCACATGCACCAAAAGACATATAAAAAATATTTATAGCACCATCATTTGTAATATCTTCAAATACAAAACAACTGAAATTTTTATCATCAGTAGATTAAATAAAAAAAAATCATGGTACCCATAGGAGAAAATGCTACTTATAAATCAAAATGAATGAATTAGAGCTTTCTGGATCAATCTCACAAACAATCTGAGGAAAAGAGGACAGCCTTAGAAGAGTAAATGTTGCAATATTCCTTAGATATAAATTCATAGCCTGAAAAACCCTATATCCAGTGTTAAGAAATTAGCATGATGGTTACTTTTGGGTTGAGGAAGAGTATAATAGGAGCTTCTGGAGTATTGGCAATATTTTCGGACTTGAGTGCAGGTTACAGGAGTGTGTTCACTTTGTGATCATTCACTGGATGGGTTATTTTGATTTGTATACCATGAAAATGTTACAGTTTAGTAGAAAGTGAAAAAATACAAAAACAAACCACTAGAACAGAGACTTTAAGATGGAAGATTGAACAAAGAAGAAATAGTTGTGGAAAAATGAACCTGGAATCCATGTGTTTGTGTGTGTGTGTGTGTGTGTGTGTGTGTGTGTGTGTGTGCCAAACTGAGAAGACTAAACATCCTAGCAATAGGAAATATAAGTGCAAATGAGTACTCTTTGAAACAGAGAGACAACCTAAGGAAATTTTAATAAGTTTCTAACAGATTAGAAAGAATTTTGAGTTTCCTAGAGTGGGGCAGAGAGAGGGATGAGAGATTCAAAGGATGGGGAAATGAATCTATTTTAAAGACATTTTCTTGTTATAAAATGAGAGATAGTCTCACCAGAATGATAAAACAGAGTTTCATGGAGGGAAAATAGCTGGCTAGTGGTTTTAAAACATAGCAGCATCATATGCATCTATCCCTGACAGCAGATAAAAGAAAAATCACAATTAACAAATGGCAAGTACAGTGGAAATTCAAAGTAATCGTGTGGAATTACTTTAAAACATTAAAAAAGATAAAAACAAAAGAAAGAGAGTGCACTATAAAATAGGCAACAAGTAATATACACATTTACTGGGCAGTAGCAAGTACATAAGCACACTAAGTGTGGTGGATGGCAATGTTCCCCTTCTCTTATGTAATCCTCTCTCCTGAATGGGCTGTAATGGGATTCTAGGAGAACTCAGCAAAAATGGTGGAATGTCATTGGTGAAATTGGATTATACAAGTACAATGGTTTCTATCTTCAACTCTCTTCTCTTTCTCTCTTAGTCACTTGCTCTGTGAGAAACCAGCTGCCATATTGTGAGCAGCCTGTGCAGAGGGACATGTGTCAAGGAACTAATGTCTCACACAGTAGAAATAAATGGAGACAGACCAAACGAGGATTAAGCCAAAGCTATTTATTTATTTAGAGTTTGTCATATACAAGGAAGTCAGCCATGTCACTTGCATTTTGTTAAACTCAAAAAGCAGGAAGAGGAGTAAGAACATTTTAGAGTTGGAAAAAAAGAAGGCATCAGGTGTGCCCTGATTGAAGTCTTCTGGCATAGGAAAACAGTAGGTGGGTAAGTAGAAGTGAAGTAAATTGTTAGGGTATTAATTTTCTCTTGTTGGTCCTCAGAAGTGGGGACAGAACTGAGAGAACTGTCAGTTATTAATTATGTTCTTGTTATTCTGGGATGATTGTTACAGTGGCTATTGTTTGGCTGCTTGGATTGTTACTAGAGAAATCTCTTATAGTTCCCACAAGTCTGAAATTCAGCAGGTTAGCTCCTGAGCTGGTTGTAAAGAATGTGTTGGTTTCCCAGATACATTGTGGAAGTTCATGGTTAAGAATTCTATTTTTATATAAGGTCTGCCCATTGTCATTTGTATATTCATTCTCTTCGTTCTCACTTTGGGGTATTATCTGGTTTGTGAGACATTGACCAATTTAGGGAGAACTAGAGATACAGATTTTCACTGCTTGAAGATTATTCAGTCGTCCATCATCAACTGCATTGCAAGATCTTCTTGACCTTTTGTTGTTGTACCTTCATAAGGATCATCTGATGAGAGAATGGCTGTAGAGAAACATTTATGTCTCTGGATAAAATTCAATGAATTTCATCATGATCACTATGACAAAAAATAAAGCCGTCACTAGTCTCTAAGGTACTTCAAAACAGGAACTCTAATTGCCCAACCCAGGCCAAGAAAACAAATCTCAAGGGCATGAGATCAATCTCAGTGAAATAAGATCTATGGTCTTAATCAATGAAACTGGGATTGCCAAAGATTTTTTTTTTATCATGGGAATTTGGTGATAGATGGTATAATCCAGCACTCAATAAAATTGAAGTGAAATCTCTAAATGCATGGCCTTCCCAATCATTAACTTAGGAAAGAGAACCAAGGTATTCCAATTGAAAATGGGAGGGTCTTTGGTCAAAGGATTTCTGAAAGTTTTGGCAATTTTAATTGAAGGATGATCTTGGTCCTTTCAACTTTTCCAGAAGATTGTGGGTGATAAGGGCAGTGTAGTTTTTTTTAAGTAAGGACTAACATCCTACAGAGTTTTAAAGTAATATTTTCCATAACATGTATGTCTCAATCCTCAGTCACTTGACATAAAAGTTGGGGATGTCCCATGTTTAAACGCAAAATCAAATAGCTGTTAGTGACTGGAAGGACTATAACTTTTCAGCAAGGAAATGTTTAAATCCACCCTGAAAATAAACATCCAACAACTAAAACATATCAAATCCCTTGGAGAGTAGAAGCTGGCTAAAATCCATCTGAAGGTTTTCAAAGGGCTTTGAGACTTTGGGTCTTGGCCACACCCCATCTTTACAGGTTTTCCAGGATGATGTTGTTGACAGGGAACACATGACCTGAGAATGACCTCAGGTCTCTTTTTAAAGTTCACCCGCCAATGTTGATTTAAGACACTAACCAACTTGTCTATTCCATGATGAGTAGTTTCATGGAGAAACTTAGTTAATATTTGAAGTCATCTGGTGCTACCAAGCAGCTGTGTTGTGAGCACCAGAGGTTATCAAGTGAAGGAGCAATCAGATATTTTTTTTCATTTTCAAAACCAGGGGCTCAACATTGACATTTTATAATTGCCACTGGAATTCTTCCAGGGATTTTTTCTTTTGAGGGCTTATTGAGAATCATAACCTTGATTGAAGGGCTTATTTGGCATAATGATCAGCCAGAGCACTTGCTTTAGTTCCGTATTATCCTTTTCTATATGGGTCTTAACCTTGAAGATAGCCACATGTCTATGAGGTAGAAATCTGTCTTCAAGTTCTTTAGCATGCTGTCTGTGTTTGATGGGGTTTCCAGCAGTGAGAAAGCACTTTGTTATCAATGCATCTCAAAGTCATGGATGACCCCAAAAGCATGCCTATACATTTACTCTCTGGTTTTGGCTAATGAAGAAGCTCTGTTTTAGTTTAATAAATTGTTCATCTGTGTTGACTTTAGCTTAGAGGACTACATTCTGAAGGAAGGATAAATTCCTGATAACATATTCTACTTGAAAACCTCCAGTTTCAGTTTTGAGATAGGATCTATCTATCAGCAGCAAATATCAGGTCAGGGTTCTCAACAGAGTGTCTAATGCACACAAACAAGGAAAGGAGTGTTCCCTGACTGAGGTGCAAGTCCTAAGGCTCCTGCTGTTGGTCATGGAAGGAGAGGGGGAGGATTCAGGGTGAACAGCAGTGAGTGCTTATGTGAGAGGGACAGTGATAGGACTGTGTGGTAGGTTAATTGGCTGGCTTAAAAGTGCTGTGTTGTATCTTAGTAATGTCTGCCCTACATGAGGAGCCATGAGGTCTAGTGGGAGCCTAGAGATAGTTCAGAGAGTCATTTTTATAAATCATCATATGGTTTCAACAAATGTGTTGAATTTAATTGTGTTTAACTAGTTTTAATGGTTAATATTATTTCTGTGTATCAAGGTGCTCTCTTTCCTTCTTTTTTTTTTTTTAACTTTTTCTCTAGGCCAATCTATGGACAAATGAGTACTCTTAAATTTCAAAGGTGCTATACTTCTTGATTTCTTGATATCTCAAAGATTATTCCTGTTGCGCTCTTACATCTTCACAGGTGTTAGATCTTGGTTCACAGAATTTTTACTTAAAACTTTATGCACATGATTTCCTGCTGGGTTGTTGTTTTTTTTTTTAATTTACAAACTATGTCAGATTCTTATTATGTCTGAATAGGCTTTAACTCAGGTCCTTGGTTAGTGTATCAGTTTGCTATTACTGCTGTTATGGTTTGGATATGAGGTGTCCCCCAAAAGCTCACGTGTGAGACAATTGAAGAAGGTTTAGAGGAGAAATGAGTGGGTTATAGCCTAAATCTAATCAGTGAACTAATCCCTGAGGGGATTAACTGAGTGGTAACTGGAGGCAGGTGGGGTGTGACTAGAGACAGTAGTTCATTGGAGGCATGGCTATGGGGTATATATTTTGCATCTGGAGAGGGGAGTCTTTCTCTTTCTGTGCTTCCTGATCACCACGTAAGCTGCTTCTCTCTGCTACACGCTTCCTCCATGATGTTCTGCCTCACCTCAATCCCCAAGGAATAGAGCCTGCTGTCTGTGGATTGAGACCTCTGAAACCATGAGCCTCCAAATAAACTTTCCCTCCTCTACAGTTGTTCTGGTTGGGTCCTTTTAGTCACAGCAGTGAAAAAGCTGACTAAAAAAACTGCTATAAAAATACCACGAATTTACTGGTTTTGTTGTAGGGACAGATGAGGCATGGCACCCAAGATAGCAGGAAACAATTTTATTTGGCTACAGCCAGGTTCAGAGGGCACAGCTTTTGCTGTAATCAATTAATCCCCAGAACCCAGAGTTCAGGTAGTTTCAGAGTTTTATACCCAGCATGAAAGGGGATGGGCTCAGAAGTTCACAGTCTGCAGAAGTTCACATAAAAGCAGCTTTTTCTCTCACTGTTCTGGGCAAATTAACCCCTCAAGGACAACATCTGAGAAGGAGAGAGCTTCTTCTCCCCTTTCTTTCCTCCCCCTGCCAGCTGTTACCATGGAGCCCAATTGGTCACTTATCTTAAAAATGTAGACATCTCTGAGAAGCCCAGCTCAAGGACAGAGGCCTTGTTTGCTCATTTCTACAAATCACTATACTGAATTTGTTTGTGAAAAACTAATAAGGGGGTGTCCAGCACCTGGAGTGCTAGTATCTTCCCGGCCAGTGGCCAAGTAAAACAGGGTGACACAAAAATAGGAAGTTTATCTACATTGAACTCTTTTGCAGAGACTCTTTTGCTGACAGTCCTAAAATCAGCCATGGTGAAGATTTCTGGATAAGCCCAGTTAAGACTTTTCTGTGGAAAAACTGGATGCCACTACAGTTTAAACAACTTAAAATTCATTATCTTAGAAATATAGGAGTTTTAAGGGGCTGAAGTCAAGGTGTGGTAGAGGTGTGTTACTTTCCGGAAGCTCGAGGGAGGCTCATTCTTGCCTTTTCTAGCTTCTGGAAGCTGCTGGCATTCCTTGGCTTATGCTTCTGTCCCTCCATTTCAATGCCAGTAGCTTTGGGCTGAGTTCTTTTCATGCTGTCATTTCTCTGGTCCTCCTCCTTCCACTAGTAAGTGCATTTGTTGTTAAATTGAGCCCAGCTGGATAATCTGGGATAACCTCTCCTGATTAGCAAACTTCATTCTATCTGGAACCTTTATCCTCTATCATTCAAGGTAGCCTTCACTGATTGCAGGAGGAAGGATGCTGGCAGGTGGGGGATGAACATTATTCTGTCTTCCTTATTTAGCTTCTGAAGAAAAATTACTTTTATAATTTGATTATTTTTTTCTCATTCATGTGCTTTGTTCTCTATTTCTATGTTGTGTGTGGTGGGTGGAGGGAAGAGGAAATACTGGGATAGAACCCAGGGCCTCTGCATGCAGGGAAAATATTCTACTACTGACCTTACATTCCCAGTCATTCCTGGTGTTCTTATGTCATTTATAGAATGTATATCATAATTGGCTTCTCATGATCCCTTAAAATTTCCACATCATAACTTTTCACACTTTCCCCTCTAAGTTCCCTGAGGAATCCTATATGTTGCCCAATTCATTAATCAAGTTTTCTGCAGGATACAGTTTAATCTGCATTATTTTTCTTTCTCTTTTAAGATTTAGCATTTTTCATTGTTATTCGGTTTTCTATTGGTCTGATATTATTTCATCCTTGATTTAGTTTTGTACTCATAATCTTTAAAAATATAACATATTTTAAACAAAAATGATAAAGGCCAAATTAATGTAAGCAAAAACACCCACCATAATTTTGAAATAGCAATGTACCTTTTCCTGTTGGCTTTAGGAAACAGACATTTGCAGTATCTTGCAAATACCTAAAACATCTTTCTGTACTATTTTAGTTGTTGTTGTGATTTTCTTGCCTACACTTTCCCTCAGGTAAAAACTATTTTGTGTTATTGTCTCTCTCTCTCTCTCTCACACACACACACACACACACACACACACAAATGTATATATACACACATATTTATACATTGGTTATGTTTTGGGA